AGAAAAAAAAATCCTAAAAAAAAGTTCCCAAAAAAGCCCTTCCCAGCAGCTGTTCCCGGGAATTCACGGGGTGGGGAAGGGCCTGGGCGGGGTTTGGGATCGGGAATTTGGGATCCTGGGAAAGGGCAGATTCTGCTGGGGCCCTGAAAGGGGTTTGGGGTTTAAGGTTTGGGATGAGATCAGGAATTTGGGATCCTGGGAAAGGGCAGATCCTAACGGGGCCCTAAAATCCAAGGAGGGATTTGGGATCGGGAATGGGAACAAATCTCTGTCTTGCACCCTTCCCAAGTCCGGGTTTGAGGTTGGGAATTTGTGCTCCCAGCCCCTTCCCAAATCCCAGATTGTCCTGGGGTGCTGATTCCTGCTGTCCATTGGCGCCTGACCGGCAATTCCCCTTTTTTTCCCCATTTCCCCCCATTTTTCCCCATTTTTCCTCATTTTTCCTCATGTTTTCCCCCGCAGGTGGCCGGGATTCCCCCCTGGACAAGGATTTCAGCTCGGCCATCGTGGGATCGGCCGCCCGCAGCCCCCCCAGTCCCCGCTCGTCCCCCCGTTCCCCCGGCGGTGAGTATCCCAAAATTCCAAAGTATTCCGAAAAATTCCCAAAATTTTTTAAAAATCCCCCAAATTTCCCAAAATAAAAAAAAAAAAATTCTGAAATTCCGCCTCCTTTCCCATCTCACAAACCCCATTTTCCTCTCATTTTCACCCCATTTTTTCCCATAAATTCCATTTTTATGACTTTTTTTCCCAAAAATCCCATTTTTCCCCATTTTCACCCCATTTTCTCCATCCCCTCAGGCAATTCCATCAAGGTGGAGATGTCCAGCGATGAGGACTCCCTGGGCCAGCTCCTTTCCCATCCCATAAATCCCATAAACCCCATAAATCCCATTTTCACCCTCTTTTAACCCCGTTTTTTTCCATTTTTCACCATTTTCACCCCGTTTTTTCCATTTTTTCTGATTTTCACCCCGTTTTCTCCATTTCCTCAGGCAATTCCATCAAGGTGGAGATGTCCAGCGATGAGGACTCTCCCGGCCGCCTCCTTTCCCAGGACAAGGACGGGGTCCTGGGCGAGGATTCGCCCCCCGAGCCCGAGCCCGAGCCGGAGCCGTTCCCGGAGCCCAACTCGCCGGGYGGGATCCGCCTGCCCAACGGAAAACTCAAATGTGACGTGTGTGGGATGGTGTGCATCGGCCCCAACGTGCTCATGGTGCACAAGCGCAGCCACACCGGTGAGATTTGGGG